ACTGCCTAGGAGACCTAGGAAATTCATTGCAGGCGCCCGGGGCTAGTGGTGTCACTGTCTGCACCTTTTGCATGCTAAAATCCTGATCTGATTATTCACAGATGAAAGTCTTGCAGTATTATTTTTCACCCTCATCAGCAACTGATGCCAACAAGCATCTTATCCTTTTGTTAATAGCGTGATCTTAGTTTCTAGCAGGAAAAGAGTCTAGAAAAGTAAAATCTTCACATAAACAGAATAGAAGTTGGAAACTCCACTATCATTCAAGGTACTTGTTTCTGTGTCCACCATTAGAAGTTTACATTTAAACTTGTTCAGACAGAAACCCAGGTAACCCAGAAGTAGGAGCATTTAACTGCAACAAATACTTTCACATTTCTTCTAAAAAAAAACAAGAAGTGAAAATAGAAATAAAAAAGACTTTAAATATTAGCTTGGATGACGAGAAGGAATCAATCAACTTAGCATAGTTCCAGCTTTGTTATTTCATATACAGATGTTCCTCGCTTACCGACTTACCTGTTTTGCGACCACTCGCACTTACGACGGACCGCCGAGCGACCTCCGACCTTGATCGTCGGTGCGCCGCGTCGCCGGCAGAAGTGGTGTCCTCCGATCTTCACTGCGGGTCCCGGTAAGTATTTTCATTGCCCGATGTACAGTACACTGTTCAGTACTGTACTAATGCAGCACAGTACTGTATAGAGTTCCTCACTTAACGACCAATTCGTTTAACAACCTGGTCGTAGGAACGGAGCTCGGTCGTTAAGTGAGGAATACCTGTACAGAATGAGGCCCTCACTAACCTGTTCAATGGAGGTGCCGAATGCTTTTTTTCCCTTTCATGTGAGGAGGACTTCGGCGGCGCTGAGCGGAGGAGCGCCGCATCACTGATGTGGGCGGAGCTCCAGGTGGAGTCCTCTGGGCAGGCTGAGCGGAGGAGCGTCGCGTCACTGATGTGGGCCGAGCTCCAGGTGGAGTCCTCTGGGCAGGCTGAGCGGAGATTGACAAGTACAAGTACTTGTCAAAATGCCCTGTATCGGTCCCGATTCCGATGCTAGCATCGGTATCGGTACATCCCTACTTGTAAGGGTGAATGTCAATCTGAAGGAGGGGGTGTTTCTAGGCAGGCTGTATTTGCATGCAGACCACCCAAAATAATGCCGGCATGGGATGCTGATCCTCCATGATTAAAGGAACTTAAATCTAATGAATGAAAAGGTTGGGCCAGGGACAGTCAGACTGGGGGGAGAGGGGGAAGAGCTAGATGGAGCTGGACGTCTTCCAGTCATGAAATGAGCCCACAGCCTCTAATGCACATTGTGAGAAACTCGCAGTGAGATCAGAGGAAGCCATTTCAGTCCAGGAGAGGAGCCGCTACAACTGTGCAGACTGAAGGGAAGGCCGGATGTCAGATTTGATGTTTATATTAAATATTAGTCAGTTTATATCTACTTCTCCCTTTTTTATCTTAAAGCAGCTTCCCTTTTTCACAACGGTTTTGTCTATATTAGTGCTTTGGTTTCTGAGAGAAGAGACCTACATAAATGCTTTCATGCTGTTCCCGCCAAATTCTCTTTGCCATCTGCATGAGGCAACTGAAAACGTGATTCATCGGACCACATGACTTTTTTTCCAATCCTCCACTGTCCAATCCTGGTGTTCCTGTGCGAATTGGAGACGTTTTATCTTGTTAACTGCAGACAGCAAAGTTGTTGGAACAGACCTTCGGCTTCCATATCCCATACGATGCAGAGTACGGCGAACAGTGCGTTCAGAGATCATTTGAGAGGATCCCGGATTAAGATCTGCAGTCATTTGATGCACTGTGGCCCTTCTGTTGTCTTGTACCAGTCTTGCCCCTCCCCCGTTCTGCCCTAACATTGACTAGTCGCTGACGGCCACAATTTGCACGTTCAGACCCAGATTTTCCGCTGACAGTCCGGTCTTTAAACACTTTAACAACAGCTGCTCTTGAACATTTAACGAATTCTGCTGTTTTGCTGATACTCGCGCCATGGCTCCGAGCGCCAACAATCATCCCACGTTCAAAGGCTGTTACATCGCGTTGTTTCCCCGTATCTTCAGAAACAAATCACTTCTACTGTCGTGGTAACCAACCTGCTTCCCTATTTATAATGGTCTGGCCCTCTAGCAACTTCAGCGCCAAATTATAGCTAATTTGCCTGCAAAAGTCAGGTGGTCATAATAATCTGGCCACTCAGTGTATATAATAATCCGGCCACTCAGTGTATATAATAATCCGGCCACTCAGTGTGTGTCTGTGTGTATATGTATATATGTATGTATGTATATATAGTGTAATGTAAATGGGTAAGCCGTATTAGTCCAGTAGAGAAGATGTATAAAAAAACAAAACGGAGTATTGTAGTATGCGATGATACCTTTCTTATTGGACTAACAAAATATATAAAATACAAGCTTTCGAGAGTTAACCTCTCTTCTTGAAGAAGAGACATATTGCTTTCCATCCACTTGTGCAGAGGAATGAAGGCAGGTAAGAGCTTTGTTTCTGTAAAGACGATGCAGCTTGAAAAAAGTCACACACAATAGACGTGTCCTTTTAAGAGAACACTTCCTCATCAACTAACAATAGAAGAAAGGACAAGTTTGGCATGTTCTCTACTGAAGTAACTCTATCAGCTTTGTACAAAACGCATCAGAGTTTGAAGCCGTGTTTATGTTTCCATGCATAAGGCGTTGAAGGGGTGGAGTGATTGCAGTTGCAATGGGCATCCAGTTCCTGAGGGCTTCATTAGATACTCTCTACATATTCAGATGCTTTTCCGGCAACCGAAGTGTTGGCTTTCAACAAGTAGCCAGTTGAGCTGTTGGGAAGCGTTCTATTGGCCTCCTGGATTATGTGACGGCTGTTTAAAGGAGAACTATGAGGTTAGGGCAGGGGTAGCCAAACTCCGGCCCTCCAGCTGTGATGGAACGACAAATCCCATGAGGCATTGCAAGAGTCTCACAGCCACAGAAATGATTCCCGGAGAGAGATGCATCATAGGAATTGTAGTTTCACCACAGCTGGAGGGCCGGAGTTTGGCTACCCCTGGGTTAGGGCTTTCCCCCATAGTTCTCCTAAGGGTAATGGGAGGACACAAACTAGCGTCCTCCCGTCACCCAACGCTCAGTATACCGCGAGCAACAGCTCGCGGTATACTGAGACGCCGCAGCCGGAACAGGTCCCGACAATTCTATCTGGATCCACCCAGCTGCGTGAGTGACAGCTGGCTCTGCCTATCTAGAGGCAGAGCCAGCTGTACCCGCCCCCTTCCCCGTCCGTTCCGCCAGTCAATGCTGGAGGATCGGACAGGGGAGGGGGGAATTCAGTCCCTCCCCTGTCACGGCTCTCTGCCGGCACAGGATCGAGAAGTGAGCAAACGCCGGTATGTGTTCTCTCACTTCCCGATCTACTGAGCCGACCTGTGACTGTTTCATTGTCACAGGTCGGCTCAGATTATGAGGCTGAGTGAAAATCACTCACCTCATAATTCTCCTTTAATAAAAGGGTGGAGGGTACAGAACTCTTTTTGTCACTAGTTCAGGAAATTTATAAGAGAACAGTCTCCTGTGTGGAATGGGGACAGGTCAGCCGCCGGTGGAACCCAAGCCCCATGGCCCTATTTAGATGGGCGATTAGGCTGCAGATGCATATGGTTGCAGATGCAATGTGTCCAGTGGCCACATTCAGACTTAACGATTCTGAACGTGGACTCTGAATGCAAACTGTTTCCGTCCAGGGCTAGTCAGCAGTGGCGCCGGCCTTTGATTTGTCTAGGGTAGAATTCTGGCCACTCCCAAAGTTTCTCTGCCGCAAAGGATCGCCATCTGAATGAGGCCTAGAGCTGCCACATGTTAAAATCAGGTTGTACCGTCTCTGGACAATCGTTTTTAGAAGAACCAACCACTATGCAGTGTAAAGGCCTCACTGAACAATCCACTCAACTGATTGGTTAAGGTCTTGCATGTCATAGCTGTTGGAAAATGTAACTGTGTGATTGTACAATCTGATTGGCTTGCGTAACAATATGGCGGTACAATCTTTGTTCAATCTCCTTTTTCATATTTACCAACAACCATGGCATAAACATCCATTTAATTTATATTTCATTAGGTATCCTCCTTAGGGTTGCCACCTTTTCTTCCAGCAAAACCTGAACACTCTAGAGGCACACAGACTTTTTGGGGGGGAGACTGAGTCGCAGCTTATTCATATATAAATAGTGCCGCCCATTGATATGTAAATATCACAGTTGAGGCTATTTTCAGTGGGGGGCCAGTAGCCCCTATCTTAATTTTGGTTGCCCCTGTCTGCATCTTTTGTCCGGGTTTCAGCTGCCATGAAACCTGGACATCGCATTCAAAACCCAAACTATCCTGGTGAATCCCGGACAGGTGGCAACCCTAATTCTCCTGCACTACATTGTTGGTAGACCTATAGAAATTAAAGGAGCAGAGTCCTCCAGCAGTGCAGAGTATATCAGGAGAGGAGAGTTATAGAGGAAGGAGCAGAGTCCTCCAGCAGTGCAGAGTATATCAGGAAAGGAGCGTTATATAGAGGAAGGAGCAGAGTCCTCCAGCAGAGCAGAGTATATCAGGAGAGGAGAGTTATAGAGAGGAAGGAGCAGAGTCCTCCAGCAGTGCAGAGTATATCAGAAGAGGAGAGTTATAGAGGAAGGAGCAGAGTCCTCCTGCAGAGCAGAGTATATCAGGAGAGGAGCGTTATAGAGGAAGGAGCAGAGTCCTCCTGCAGAGCAGAGTATATCAGGAGAGGAGAGTTATATAGAGGAAGGAGCAGGGTCCTCCTGCAGAGCAGAGTATTTCAGAAGATTGTTGTCCTAGAAACATCTGAAGTTCTGCTAATTGAATTGCCTTGGTGTATTTTGTATTAATTGTCTGTCTCTGCTGTTCCTGTTTTTCAGACACTGGAGATGATCGTTTTACAACAACTCGTCTAGTAAGCTGTGCCCCCCTGTGTGATCACAGACACCAGAGGATGCCCGCCCATCGCTCTGGATCCCTGCCCAGCTTTGAACCTCTCCAAGTCCTCTGTATCCTGTTCACATGATCTGGCAGCGTCCGTGCATGACCGAGGTTGGACAATGTTGCTGGCACGGATAGAAAAGCCTTATTTCCTCCTGTGTTTGGTGTTCTCTCAGCTGATGTTTGTTTTGCTTTTTTACCGCCGCGGAGCCTCCAGCATTTTCCAAGGAATATTCGGGTCCAACCCTGCCTGGGACTACTCCAGAACGCACGACGTGTACACCAACCTGAGCTTCTTCACGCCCGACCCTGAGGCTGTGAGGACCCTCTACTGCCCTGTGAGGTCTCCTATTCTCGGTAGGTGAAAAGCTTCAGGGGTGAAGGTACAAATCTGGTGTCATAGAAAAATAATAGCTTCTAATTGTTTTGGCATTTTGATTACCTGAAACACTTATGGGTGAGGAATCTTACCTGCCGGGCATTTTATAATTCTGTTTAGCCAGCCCAGTGATCTGGGCACCCCTGCCACAACGCATAGCCTGCTTCCTACTGAAGCTTTGGAGCTTCCTGTGCCACCCTGTTACTCATTATACTGCCACCTTCAGGAAGTATTGGAAACTGGCAAACAAAAAAAAACCCATTGGCCAGCCAGCTTTACCCCTCCTGAGCCCATCATGGTTCACTATTGCACAGAAGGAGTACTAGGATTGGATCACAAACACAGAGGGTGCCCTGTGTCCTTTAACCGCTTCCCGGCCGGTCGTTGTACATAAACGGCCGGGAGCTTTCTGGATGTAACAGGCCTGTTAGCACCGCCCACTCGGGCCTGTCGGCACCGGCCACTCGGGCGCAGCGTGCGGGAAACTCCGTCAATTTCAAAACAGGCAGTGATGCCCGTTAACATACAAGCGATCCGCCGGCTATAGATCACCCGGGACCAGCATAGTGCCTCTCTGACGGGATCAGAGGGAGGTCGGTACGCGATCTCCCTCCGGTCACCTCTCCGGTGTCAGAATGCGGAAGTGTTGTATATTACATCACTTCCGCATTCTCGTGTCACTCTCCAGCTTCAGACGCTGGAGAGAAGCTGATGAAGCAGATCTGTGCTTCATCAGCTTCTTCAGGGGGGTCCTAGGTGACATTAGGGGTCTTGGAAACCCCTGATGTCTCCATAAAGAGGACCTTTCACTTCTTTTGCTATCACATAAGGGGATTTCTTAGCCCCCTATCTGATAGCAGTAAAGTTAAGTGAAAAAAAAATTTAAAGTTACACTATATACATTCTTTCTTATACAATAAAAAAGAATTAAAAAAAAAAATTGTTTAAAGTCCCCACCCATACATACACGCATGCAAACATGAGTCAGGTGCGCATGCCTGCGAAAACGACGATTGCGCCCATTACGCCGCACATGTTACAAATCGACGCCAACGTTGCAATGAGAGCAATAATTCTAGGGCCATCAATCACTGATAACACTAAACTGATGAGCTGTAAAAGCTTTTAAAGCGTCACCCATGGTCAATTTTGGGTATGGTAGTTTTTTGCGGGTGCGCGCAATTTTTAAGCATGACATGTTTGGTGTCTATTTACCCGACGTGACTCCGTCTTTTATATTTTACCAAAATAATTGGGTAATAATAATTGTTTCCTAACAATGTAAAAAAACCTTTTTTTTCAACATTTTCTGTAATTTTCCCGAAATATAGTAAAAAATAAAACCCGCAGTGGTGATTAAATAGCACCAAAAGAAAGCTCTATCTGTCCCCAAAAAATGTTATTTAATTTATTTCAGTCCAGCGTTGCATGACGGAATAAACTTCAGTCAAAGTACTACAGCGCTGAATACTGAAAAATGGCCGGGCCAGGAAGGGGGTCTAAACACCTGGTCAGCAAGGGGTTAATGAACTCCCAAGATACGACAAGGACAAAATTACTGTTTTCTTTCTTGTTCATTAAGGGCTGGGCAACGGTAACAAACCACTAACAGGCCCACATAACAAAAGACAAATATAATTGGGCTGCAATTACCTGCATAACCTGCAGCTCAAGAACTGCAGGAAGGACATGGTGCCCAAAGCTGGCATGAGATGAAGCCCGAACATCCACCTGGTGAAACTTGGAGAACATGTGAATCGAAGGCCTTGCACATCTGGGAAACGGTTGCCCGATTCCAAAATGCCCAGGATGCACTCTCAGATCTAGCAGAGTGCGCATTGAAAGGAAAAGGTGGAACTTTGTTTTTGGATTGATAAATGAACAATTATCTTGTTGAGCCAACAAGAAGTGATGGAGCAATAAGTCGGTTCCCCTTTGTGGAGACTAGGGATGCACCGATACTGGTATCGGTATCGGTGCAGATACCGAGTATTTGGGCAAGTACTCGTACTCGCCCAAATGCTCCTGGTGCTTGGCCCGATGCTGGAACTTCCGGTATCAGGAAGCCGGGCAGCGAGTCATTACCTGACTTCCTAATTGCTGGGAAGCTGGCTCCATGCTCTCACGTTACCAGGGAGCATAGAGCTGCCTTCCCGGCCAATCAAGAATAGGTTGTGTTTTTTAGGGTGTACATCAATGGCTCATACTACTGATTAAAATATGTTCCCCTCACTGACCTATTATCCAACACAGGATCATTGAGGGAGGGGTGGTGTCAGAGCAGAAGCGGACGATCCGTGCCCTTGAGCAAGGAGACAGGACTCATGAGCTCATTTCTGTGCCACTCTGCTATCTCCTCCTATTAACATCTCTTGTTAGCACATGAGCAATGCAGCACAACTCAGTGGCTCCTTGTGTTGCCTCTTCTTGATGCTCCAGCCCTGCTGTACAGGATCCAAAATCAGGTACTGTCTGAAAAATGCATTTGATGATGTATTAACCACCTGCTGTCTGGCCGTTGTAATTAAAAGGCCGGACAGCGACTTTTTGAATGCGGGTGGGCGTTTTTAAACGTCCCATCCTGCCCCGCTCCGTGCCCGCCGCTAGGAAATCAGCCTGCAATGTAAACAGCCGGCGATGGCTGTTTACATACAAGCGTTCCGGCGTCTGTAGAGACGCCCGATCGCTTGTAATATGCGTGCTCCGCTGTGCCCGGTGTGAGCCCGGGACCAGCACAGCAGCAAGTTTGCGGCCGGAGATCAAACAGAGCTCAGTACACAATCTCCATTTGATCTCCTCCTCCTCTTCGGAATGCAGGAAGTGATGTGTATTACATCACTTCCACATTCCTCTGTCACTCTCCGGTACAGAAACCGGAGAGAAGCTGGTGAAGCAGGTTTTGCTTCATCAGCTTCTCTGGGGGTCCCTAGGTGACAGGGGTCCTAAAGACCCCTGATGTGTCCATAAAGAGGACCTGTCACTGAAAATTGGCTATCACAAAGGGGGCTTGTTAGTCCCCTATGTGATAGCAATAAAGTTAAGTGAAAATTTTTTTTTTTTTTAAAGAATAAGTTACAAAAAATATATAAAAATTAAAAGTCACATATAAAGGTAATAAAAAAAATTAAAATTCTTTTGTTTAAGTCCCCCGCCCCCCACATACACATGCAAACATGCGTCAAGTGCGTAAACGACGATTGCATCCATTACGCCGCACATGTTACGTATCGCCGCGAACGTCGCAGTGAGAGCAATAATTCTCGGCCCATCAATCATTGATAACACTAAACTGATGAGTGGTAAAAGCTTTTAAAGCGTCGCCATATGGCCAATTTTGGATATGGTAGTTTTTTTTGCGAGTTCGCTGACGCACGCAATTTTAAAGCTTGACATGTTTGGTGTCTATTTACCCGACATAGCAAAACAAACGACAAACGCACTCAACAATTTGTTACCAGTTATACAGTAAGGTGCACACGAAATGGGCTTTGAACAGTAGAACAGTAGAAAGGCATCATGGCACACTCACAAACCAGCATGTAAAACAACTTGTCTCACCACTAAGGACAATGACAGAGGTTTGCATACACGTCTTCTGCAAACCCGACATGACCCCGTCTTTTATATTTTGCCAAAAATTTGGGTAATAATAACTGTTTTATAACAACGTAGGGAAAACTGTTTATTTTCCCCCAAAAATTTTCGATACTTTTTTCATTATATAGTAAAAAAAAAAACCCCAGTGGTGATTAAATACCATCAAAATAAAGCTCTATCTGTCCCCAAAAAATGGTATAAAATTAATTTCAGTACAGCGTTGTATGACGGAATAAATGTCGGCCAAAGTACCGCAGCACTGAACACTGAAAAATGGCCGGGACAGGAAGGGGGTGTAAACACCTGGTCAGCAAGGGGTTAAACACAGAACTTCTTCATCTGCCTACAATGCAGCGGCTATCGTGTCGGCTTTTCCACTGCTATAGGTTCCTTTTACTTACGTGAGATGAATGGCAAAGCTTGGTACGGCCCCGTTCATTAGGTAACCATCGCCCCTGAGCAAACGCAGGCAATTAAAATGACACGCAGTACTGTGTATAAGGTTCTGACCGCATTTCACCCCCTAGGCTGGTTGAATTTTAGCCGGTACGCCTAAAAGGTCACACCTGACACCATTGTTCCCTTCAGATTGAGGATTCTGGGGAGGGTAAGGTCAGAGGGAAGAGAGATTATACATTATGCTCCTGCACTGCAGGGGTTAACTGGGAGTCATGACTATTGCTGTCAGAGACTTGCAATGCCTCATGGGCTTTGTAGTTCCACAGCAGCTGGAGGGTCGGAGTTTGCCTACCCCTGGCCTAGGTGCTCAAATAAAATAAGTCACCTGATCCTCTGTCCTGTTAGGCTGCTAGAGTGGTTCCTGCAGCCTCTTCAAAAAACCACGTCTTGAGCAGGTCCATTGACTTGCATCAGAGGTAAGGGTGCCAAGGCCGGAGCAGAGGGGGAGAGAGGTGAGTGCTGACTGCCTTGGAATCGAGCAACAGGTGAGTATATCTTCTTTCTTCCAGTCCCCATACCAAAAGGAGCATTTAACCCTTGCAGTCCGGGGGTAGCCCCACTGCAGCCTTTTATTAAAATAAAACCTGGTCATCCTGCCACAAAGATACTTTGTCCAGGCCTTTCCAGTTTTAGGTTGACAACTGTCTCTCAATTGCACTGCTGCGTTGTCACCGTGTCACAGTACCCCTGATAGAGATAAGAAGCGGCTGCACTGACACGGACATTCCGTATCAAGAATCTGATCCAGAGCATTGAAGCGGAGCGAGTGCACGCGGACAGGAAGTGATTGAAGGGCTATTCACACCAGACCAGATTAATTCCAAAGCCAAAATGCATCCTAATGTATCCCTCTGCTATTTCTGGCCTCTGTTCACACCAGCGCAGTCTGTTCCAGACCAGAAAAAATACTGCATGTCACATTTTTTCTGGTCTGGAATGCACTGGGCAGGTTCACACCATTTTCCTGGACCAGGTTTGGTCCAGGAAATGGTGTGAACTTGCCCTGAACGGAGCCGGAGGAGATCCGCAGATACAATGTATCTTAGGGAAGAAAAACATGACCATTGCTTATGATACCCATCGCTTCGGCAAACTAAACAACATTGAGTCTTGAATTAAAATTTTCATCTGGCCATGCCGTGGAAAATTGGCCACTTGGTCATCGTTCGGGCCCGGCAATTACGCCCCATAATTGCGCTTTTTGCAATATCTGAAAAGTTTGCGCTGCTCGCCTGCCGTTTCTATTTTCTCTGAGAGCCGAGCTCCTGTTTATTTAGGTGGATATTAAACCTCCAGAAATAGGGGTGCTTGGTGAAGGAGAAGCGGAGCTAAAATAATCTCTGGGACATCCGCCGTTCCCTCAGCTAATTACCTTGATTGTAATGGGGGGACGTGAGATGCAATTAGGACGAGAAGGGTAATATTCCATTTTTAGAGTCCGCAAAGAATACGTTCATTTCAACGTGATGGAACAATTCCAGACCGGCGCTCTGCAGAGGATTGTCATCCCTGCCGCAGTTAACTCTTCCCGCAAATTGTATATTGAATGCTTTCCTTCAAAAATAGAACTTCCTGATTTTACTGCAATCTGTGTGTGGTGCTCGGCGCACAATCTTTCCCAGTTCATGGTTCCTATTCATCCAGGTCATGGTACGTCTGTATAAAATAAATCAAGGCAACTGGACTTGCTGTATTTTTCTTGGATATGTTTCTCTGGTCAATTTGACTCAATTCAGAGTTGAGAAAGCTGCGTCTTTCCTTACTTGTCACCACTTTATCCAAAACTTAAAAAAAAACAGAAGTTTGGACTTTATTTTGCTGTAAATTAATACAGTTATTGGCCTTGTCAGTTCAGAGGCCTAGTACCGTATCCATAGCAACCAGTCCTATACCCTTGCTGGGGATCCGGTGCCACCTGTTCAATGTTTTTAGTTCTATGTCTGCCTTGCTGGCTAGATTTCATTTCACTTCCTGTTGCCTGGCAGGACTGCGTGGGCATAATTACAAATCATATGTATTTATAAAGAATTCAGCTTTAATATTCATTAATGAGTAAACATCTGGATCTGAATTGGGAATTCCGATGTGAAGTAAGAGTACACGAGGGCATGTAAGGGGCAGTTTGGTCTTCATTTTTATTTCGAGCTGTAGCTGTACCATTGTCATTGTTTGTTTCGTTTTTACTCATGTGCCGAAACATTGTTTGAAGGTGTGAAAAACATTCGAGAGGCGTTCTTCTTCATAGTCAAAGACACAGGATACATATTGATAGATCTTAACCCTCTCGCATCCCCTGGAGGAGCTCTATGCGTTAAAGAGGAACTTCGCCCTCCATCTTTTGAAGTGACAAAGAAATGTTTAGTAATGACAATCTACACACAGACACATCTAGATAATTGCAGGCTTTTTATTCTTTGCAGGCCTTATTTTTCTTTTCCTCCCCATTCTTCTCACAGCGGCCATTTTTACTAAGGGCAGATTACTATATCGCCCTTTACTCCCCGGAACTGTGCCACACGTGACTAGGACATGTGACCATGCACATCGTCTCAGGGTAAGAAAATGCCTTTCCCTGAGATCTCGTGAGATCACAGATGATATTTTGCAGCAATGCTCTGCTGATGTAACCTTCCCAGGATGCAATGCTTGGGCACAGGCTGCATCACTAGTGCCCAAGAAGACCAGGAAGGAGGAAAGCAGTAATTGTAAGTAAAAGCAAAATATGTTTGTTCAACTAATGAAATAATTTATGGAAAGGGAAACACTGCAAGTAAAAATGTAAAATACTTCTGTGCTTTTACCTGCATATTTTTTAACCTCTTGCCATCCGCCCGTTAAGAAAAAAACGGACGGACGGCTGACAACGTGTTCTCTTTAGGTCAGAAGCAAAGTTGATTTTGAGTCTCGGCCTCTGACCTTGCAGCAGAGTGCTCTACAAGAGCGTGGAAAATCCCAATTATGCCATCTCTGACATCAGATTTTCTGTGCGCTCTGGCAGCCATCTTAGAACAGGGCAAAGTTTCCTTCTTAGGCCACTAAAATCAAGGCCGGGGCCCGGGGGTAGGCAGAATAGACGGCAACCTTGAGCACTTTAGCAGGGGGGCACTGACACTGTCCATGACCGAGTGCCCAACTTTTCAGAGGGGGTGACACCAAAATGACAGTCATTTTGGTGTCACCCCTCCAATGGTGGCACCCGGGTGCAGGCCGCACCCCCTTTGTGATGCAACTTAGTCTACTACTTCTCCGTCGCTGTCCAGTTACAGGACCTGTAAAGTTGAGTTCATAGCATATGCGTTGGGGCTGTGATGGCAACTTTTTCCAAATCCATTTCAATTTGCCTTGTCACGGACGAGTTTGGTTCACACCGCCACAGTGCACAGATGTAGCAGTGGCGTGTGCTGAAAAAAAAAAAGTACAGCATGCAGTACAACTGCCTCGCACCCCGCTGTGCCCGTAGAACATGTAACATTTCAATAAAGTTCTTTAAAAAAAACAAAAAAAACAGTGCAATGTGTCGGGTAATGCCGGCGGATCGGCACTGTGTTGAGCCCTGGCAGCTGCTGTGAATTGGCCCTCAGCGTTTCTGAACTACAGCAGAGGAAAGTCAGTTCTCCTGATCAGCCAGAAAGGACTGTGCTGTGTGGCAGAGTTGTGTTAACCTCAGGACTGGATGGACAGGAATACAAATTCCTTGGCAGGTAACTGCTTCAGGAACACATTACATATTGCCATTTCAAAGTGTATACCATTGGGTAACAAAAACAAAAGATCAAAGACTAAACCGATATGGCTAAGTCTGTAAAACTACATGTTAAGGCAAAGAGAAGGGCATTTATAAAATATAAGATGGAAGGGATGGCATTGGCGTTCCTTAAATACAAGGAATGTAACAAAAAATGCAAACTAGTAATCCGGGAAGCTAAAATAGAATGCGAAAAGCATATCGCCGCATATAGTAAAAAAAAAAAAAAAACCCTAAAAAATTCTACCAATATATTAACAGTAAAAGGGTAAGGAAGGAGCAGATAGGCCCAATAAAGGACGAAAACGGGAAGTTACTCACAAGTGACAAGGAGAGGGCCGAGGCTCTGAACAATTTTTTTCTCCTCAGTATACAATCAGGAGGGAAACGGGTTCGACGTACGTGATAAAACGCATAGTTCAACCGATAATATACCACAATGGTTGACGAAAAGCAGAATAGAACAAAGACTTTAAAATGCTCAATGCAAATAAAGCAGTTGGACCAGATAACCTTCACCCCAAGGTACTTAGGGAACTAAGCCAGGTTATAACAAGACCATTATTCCTAATTTTTAAGGAATCCTTAGTGACTGGTAGGGTACCATGTGATTGGCGGAGGGCTACGGTAGTTCCAATATTCAAAAAGGGGGCTAGATGCCAACCAGGGAGCTATAGGCCGGTCAGTCTAACATCGGTAGTTTGTAAACTGTTGGAAGGTATAATTAAGCACTATTTGGTAAAATTTGTTAAGGATAAGGGCATAGTTATTGACAATCAGCACGGGTTCAGGAAAGACCGTTCCTGCCTGACTAACTTGCTAACTTTTTATGAGGGGGTGAGTAGAGATATGGATGGAGGGAAGCCGGTAGGTGTGGTATACCTGGATTTCTCAAAGCGATTTGATACGATACCACACAAGCGCTTAACGTATATACTCGAGTATAAGCTGAGATTTTCAGCCCATTTTTTTTGGCTGAAAAGTGCTCCCCTCGGCTTATATTTGAGTCAGCGCCAGGTGTCATCTTACTTACCAAGAACGTTTCAGTTTCCTCACGTATCTTTCCTTTTCACTTTCAGTTGGTCCGTTATCCATAACGTTCGGCAGAACTCCCAGCTTAAAGAAGATCCAGCTGAGGAATCGCTACGTGAAGCCCGGCGGTTATTTCAGCCCTAAGCACTGCTACGGGCGATACAGAACGGCGGTGATCATTCCGCACCGGAACCGGGAGTCCCACCTCCAGACGCTCCTCTACTACCTGCACCCCTTACTACAGCGCCAGCAGCTGCACTACGCCATCTTCGTGGTCCATCAGGTAAAGCGGGACCTTTGCCTCATTTTGAACACACATGCTCGTACGCCCTCAGGCTGGGAACACCAAGGGGTCTGTTTATATAAAATTAAAAAAAATGTGCATAGCTATTCATCATGTACATGCGTTCTGTGTGAATCAACCAACATTCCCCGATTTAATTTTAAGGATTTTGATGCATAACGCTCTGCATGTGCGAACGGGGCAAAACCGAATGGTCTTCGGTTTCGTGTGAACGTTGTTGTGGGGCGAATGGTACAAATTTGAGTGTAATGTTTTAATGTGAATATTGGCTCCATCCTCGAATGGAAAACAAATGTTGATCGAATGTTCTTAGGGCACTCTGATCGAACGTCTTTGCTCTGATGTTCTGAGAATATGTTGCATCCAGTACTCCTTATTAGGGCTGCGGCTAACGATTATTTTCATAATCGATTAGTTACCCAATTTTATTTTTTCAACGAATCGATTGGTTGTATTAAAAAAAACTCCTCTCCGTCTCCTCTCTTCTCCCTCTCCTCTCCGTCTCCTCTCTTCTCCCTCTCCTCTCCCCTCGCTCCCCCCCTGCTCTCCCCTCGCTCTCCTATCGAAATCGATAATGAGAATAGTTGCCATCTATTCTCATTATCGATTTAGTCGATTAGTTGTTGCAGCTCTACTCCGTATATTCACCAGAAATCTATGAATGTTACCTTCGCCCTGTGAAAGAAACACTTTAAATGGCACTGCAGTCCCTGCCCGTAGTGCGCTCGCCCTCCGCACCACAATATGTGGCACATTTAGTGCCTGCGTTCCAGTCCAGTGCGATCTGCAAAAATGCTGCAAGCAATATTTTTGCAGATCGCACTGGACCGGAACACAGGCGCAGATGTGCCATGCATTCTGGTGAGGGTGATCGCACTGCGGGGGAGGGGGGACGTGGCTGCGCTGCCACTGACATCAACGCACCGCCACACCACCTCCCACACCTGAATGCAGGAAGCCGGCTGGGATGCGATACAGCACGTTCCAGCAGCTGACCACTCGAACGCACTGTATATGGCGTGAACAAGCCCTAAATGATAGGACTTTATGTCTGACGTGTTTGGGGATCCCTAATGTGTTGCTCTATAGGCGTTTAAGTGATGTCATGCCCCATGTTTTTTTTTTTCACTACTCCTTCCCTCCCTCTCTCTTTCCCTCACCATTGGTAATAATGCACAGCCCCCCTTGGCCTGTGGCTAAGTGACTGTACACAAGCCTCCTCCAATCTGTGATTTGGGGGTATCCCACCCCAGGACTCTCCATCTGTTTGATATCAGAGAACACCTTCTGATACCATTCAGGGTCTTTTTTTATCTAATCTGATGTTTTTTTAATATAGTCCTATTGATCTAATATCCCATCCAGTGGCATAACAATCGCCCTAGCGGCCGCTATGGGGCCCGGGCACAGGGGGGCACGCCCAGGGCATCCCTCTGATGCCGTGTGGGCCACCTGGGTCCCTATGGCATGTAAGGGTGCTGGCTGTCACTGACATAGCTCAGCAGCGGCTGTGAAGATCACTGACAACCTGTCAGTGATGTGTACAGCGGCCGCGGCGCGTTTCCCCTCACAGCCGCTGCGGAGCTGTGACAGCCAGCAGGCAGAAGAGTCCGGCCCGCCTAAGAGCAACCCCGCCTCCTCTTACATCTCTGGTCAGCGACCTAAGAGCAGGCGGGGCCTGTTGATAGAAGAGGAGGCGGGGGACGGAAGAGGAGGCGGGGCCTGACGACCACGGAGGCGGACAGCGCTGACAGGTAAGAGGTGTGCAGCCCATCTTAGACCCTGCAGAGCCCACTATAGAGAGTCTATGGTGGGCTCTGCAGGGTCACTCTCAGGTGGGCTGTTTGGTATATCAGGTGGGCTCTGCAAGAGGCATAGCTAGCAATCACGGGGCCTCATACAAAATTTTGCTATGGGGCCCGGTGATTTCTAGTTACGCCCCTGATCCCATCCCTGGGGTATAATGTGAGTCGGGTGATGTGAGTGGTTGTGTTCAACCTCGTGCAAAAAAAATATCTTAAGTACGTCCCAAAAAACTGTATTGATGTACACAGAGCATACGTGGCACGCACTGTCCTTCCCTCACCGCATTTGTTTGCAATTCCTGGCCACATGCTTCTCGGTTAAATTTGCTTTGTTGCCTGGTTTCTCTTCGGGGGAAATTTGGCTACAGTCGGCCCAGCCTGTGTTTTATTTACAAAGCAGCAGCTGACCAAACGGCCCTGACAGCGCTGACTGTGGCAGTATACTTTGTAAAACTTCGGCCTCGGTTGCCTGGATGTCCCTCGGGGAAGTCATACAAAGTTTTCTGACTCAGAGCTGCCTTAGCAGTTCCCCGTGGGGGAGAGTTTGATGATACCTAAATTTGGAAGTTCCCCATCAGTTCCACCACCCGTAGTGAGAGGGGGCAGATCCTGTGGGAAATGTTGTTCTGCTGCTCATGTCTTCTTTACATGTCATTGTAGTTTGCATAACTCCCCCGAGGTGGAGGAAGTTCTACAAACTCTTCTGTTAGTCAGCGCAGCCTTTGTTATCAGCTGCTGATCACACAGCCCTGCCAGAGCTGTATGTCTGTAATCCAATCTGAAATTCCTCCCACCCCGGCCCCCCCCAATGTGCTGAATGATGGCGCTCGTCCTCGGCATGCGTCTGCTGCAAGAGATGAACACTGTCAATCAACCCTCATTATGTATTGATCTCCCTGCTAGCAGCATGTTCAGACAGCACTGGGGGAAAGGGGGCAGGCTACCCAACCACAGCACAAATCAGAATGGGACCCAGTTACACGTGTACTTGGTCCCTTGGAGGAGTTAACTCGGATTTTTACAATGTAGTGTTGGATCTTCTTAAGTATATCTATAGACATTTTTTTGTTTTTTGTTTTGGGTAGAGTGGGGAAGGATTAGAATTCTTGTCCGGGGCTCAGTTAGATAGGTTTCCCATCACTCCCTGCTCCAGGGACAAGATTGGAAGAGGGTGACATTAGGGATGCACCAATACCATTTTTTCAACACGGAGTACCGATACTTTTCCTTAAGTACTTGCCGATGCCAATTACCGATACCTTTTTTTTTTTTTTTTTTTTTTTTTTTTTTTTGTGTCGTGACAGTTTTTCTAAAACAATGCAGACTAATGATTTAAGGACAATGGTGGAGCACCAGGGCCCGGTCACAGCTGCGACCCTGGTAGTTCTGTCGCTGACCAAGCTGTAAATAGACTGCAAATCCCAGAAATTCTGAATACCACCAGCTAGTGAGGACTACAAATCCCAGCAATACATTATACAGCAATGCAAAATACCATGAGCTATAGAAGTATATTCGTCCGTCTCGTACACATCATTATTTGCCTTCACAGAAATTATTTCCATTTGAAACTGACAGTTTGAAGAGGCAAAATAGATCGTTTCGCACTCGCTGCGATAAGCCTCGGTTACTTCTGGGCGTTTGGCCAAATTAGCATCTAGTACCTTATCTATGTACACAAGACAGGAAGCTGCGAGCATCTCGGGCACCCCACCCTTATCAGAAGAAAGTCAGGCCTCCAAGAAACTGCTCTGCAGAGTCAACTAATCCCTCCGCCGTGGTCACTTCACTAAACCACGGGCCCATTCACCCCGCAACGCACTGCGCTTCCATGCATTGCAGTAGGCAGCCCATTCAAAGTAGGAAAAACTGGGCACTGCTCTTTGTTCCAAAACTCGGAGCACTGGCTTTCAAAACACAGAACAATGCCGGCATCCAATCAGATTGTTCAGGTATTTGGACAGCCAGCGGGGCCGACTAGCAAGACACTGAAGCTTGGCCCAGCGGGAGATCCCTCCATCCACATAGTTTAGCGTAGATGAAGGAGTCTGTTCCACTTTTTCCATCTGACTTTTTTTCCATAGACAAGCTTTTGCTGACCCCCTTCAGGAAATGCTTTAGTCAATGACTGGAGACAAGTATGCAGCCAGTGAAGTCACAGATCCTGATCTGCAAAGTGATTTTAGAAAGCATTGAAACCGTTGCATCAGCATCCAGTGTGGGTGGGAGATGGCTGTGATTCATTAATAGCTTCTGGGGTGACTCGGATGGACGGATGGATGCCAATACTAGTATCGGTGCCAATGCCGAGTATTGGGCCGAGTACTCGTATTCGCCCAAATGCTCCGATGCCTGGCCCGTTACTTCTGGTATCAGGAAGCCGGGCAGTGAGTCATTATATGCTGCCCGGCTTCCTGATTGGCCGGGAAGCCGCCTCCATGCTCCCTCGTCGCCTGTGAAGCTGACCTATCAGGAAGCCAAGAAGCTGGCTTTATGCTCTCTCGTCGCCTCATGAAGAGGGAGCATGGAGCCGGCTTCCCGGCCAATCAGGAAGCCAGGTGCCATGTCATTACACGGCGCCCGGCTTCCTGATTGGCCAGAAAGCCCGCTCCATGCTTTGCCGCCGCCTAGTGACGAGAAGCATGGGAGCGACTTCCCTGCTAATCGGGAAGCCGGGTGGCGAGTCTTTTACACACCGCCCGGCTAATCAGGAACCTGGGTGGTGAGTCATTACAAGCCGCCTGGCTTCCCTAATTGGACTTCTGGGGTCGGTATTCGGTATCGGCGAGTCCTGAAGAAAAAAATATTGGTACTTCCCGGTATTGGTGCATCCCTGATGGATAGGAGTGTAGATACAATAGGTAGGTAGATAGTGTGGCAGTGCATGGCAATGCTAGGGTGTAGTATGGCAACTGTGGCACCCAGGACTCTCAGCCAGAGGTTCCACAATGTGAACCGTTTTACAAGGAAGAACCTCTCTTTTCAGATTCTTCCGGGTTTTCCTGGGATCTGGAGATTTCTTAGAGCTCTGGGTGGGATGAGATCTCCAGTCCTGGGGCCCGGTGTTGCCAATGACCAGTCCGGGCTGATCAGGGGGCTGGGAGCAGGCTCATTAGAAGCCAGACCAGAGCTCAGGGGAGAGACGGTGTGGCGTGTGCTGGAGGCACATGAGGGCCAAGCCAGGTGGTGTGGGGGGGCCAGAGGATTTTGCAGGCTGAGAGAGCCAGGCACACAAGGTGGAAGCGGCTGAAGGGTATGAGGGAGTTTGTGGTGACCAGTGATGCCATTGGTTGCCGGGAGCTGAGCGGTACACCAGCTATGGCCCTTACACATCCTCCTGCCCGGCCCTTAGAAAACTTTGACACTCTGCCCGGAAACGGGGGCAGTAGGCACACCATGCCACTCCTCCTGCCGCGCCACATGACCCAAAGAGATCCCACCTGAGGCAACAGCCTCGGTCTGCCTCATTATAGGGGCGACCCTGTCCATAGCCGTAGATGAAAGGATATCTAAATGTCATATATTGCATATTAGCAGTCCTCAGATGTGGCGGCTGCATTCGTTTTCATTTTTCCAGCAAGGAACATTTTTCAGCAAGTACAGAAATACCTGCTGATCCTGCCAGAAATCCAGTGTCCATGTAACTTCCTGTGCACTGAATTCAGATCTCAGACAATGTTATCAGCTTCCCCAGTGTTCTTCTGTGAACTACACAACCCAACACTACTCTCTGTAAGGAAATTAGGAAGGTGGGGTGTTTGTAGGCCGTGTAAGTAAAGCAGCCTGGATGACAACACTGCTCCTCCGGTGATGCAGTGAGTGATCGTTGTCACCCTAGTACAGGAAGTGTATTCCTGGCAGGATCACGGGGTGACAATAAAGGAAGAAAAGGAATGCAGCCGCCACATCTAAGGAGGGGTGAGCTGCAATATATTACATTGTATGAGGTTGTCGGGCTGGGAGTGTATTTTGGACCTTGACGGGAACATTTTGGCTCGTTCCGAGGCGGTCACGTGCCCGAGATCCGGCCGGCAGGATTCAGCTGGCGGTTTTCGAGCCGTGTGCAGGATGCTTTCTGCACATAAATGAATTACACGGCTATTCTTAGCCGGTGGCTGGTGGGGCCCATGCCAGAAATTGGAGAGAGGATCAGAGCTAAGGAAACGCAGAACAACCTCTCCCATCATCCGAGATCATTTGTTACTTTGTAACCATCCGGAGAGACGTCACCTGACCTCCGGGGAGATGGGAAACGTCATTTATATTTAGAAATGAGAAGATAAATAAATGCAGCCAATCGGTTGTTCCCCTTGTGCTAACAAGGGTCATGCTGATGGAAGGTGAAAGCAGAGTGACAGTAAGATGAGCTCATCAGTTTGCTGCTTCTCTTGAGAGGCGTACTGAGGCATGGCTGGTGGGAGGAGAGCCCCCTGCCGGCCCCCTCCCACCAGCCACGTACAGCACCCTGCCGGCCCCCTCCCACCAGCCACGTACAGCACCCTGCCGGCCCCTCCCACCAGTCATGTACAACACCCTGCCGGCCCCTCCATGTACAGCACCCTGCCGGCCCCCTCCCACCAGCCATGTACAGCACCCTGCCGGCCCCCTCCCACCAGCCATGTACAGCACCCTGCCGGCCCCCTCCCACCAGCCATGCATTGTCTAGAGAAGCACTGAGACCTGGTGATGACATCACTGGGACTAAGATAAGGTGTCATCAGCATGGTGATGAGGGTGGGAGGAAGAAACCCGGCAAGGCAAAATATAAGCAGATGAAGCTTCAGGTTGTGGATGAAGTGGGGAAGGGTTAAAACCTTTTTATGTGCATCACCATGGTAACCTGGGGCCGTTCTGCGCACAGCTTTAGTCCAGTAAACCCCCATAAATCTAATTTTCTGCCTCTGTGATTGTAATTGGTCAGCTCTCCCAGCCATTCCCTTCCAGCTCCTGCAGCGAGACCATCATCCTTGGCGATCATTCGGCCAGAAGGTTAATGAAGTGTCCTTTGCTCGGTATGTACAGGACAGAAGCAGGTAAGAATCCCCAGTGAAGGTTCCTGAACTCCTTACAATGTGAATAACCAGCCTGGGGGGGGGGGGGCAATTTTATGTGAAATAACACGGCGACTTTAACTGCCGGAGTAAAAAGATCATAAACTGTTTTGGTTTTTTTTTCCTCCTTTGCTGTGACGAATCCCAGTAAGAGTAATAATGTTTCGGTCTGGTCTCTCTCTCTCTTCGGCGGCGCGGCGTTCGCTGCTGCTGCCGCCGCCGCTTGTAATGATCCGTGAAATAGTTACCGCTGTTATTACTGCAGAAGACAGATTTTCTTCCATTTACTCGCTAAGCGGCGCATTTATCTTGCCAGGCCGGGAACGCCACGTTTAATCGGGCGAAGCTTCTGAATATCGGCGTCCGCGAGGCCCTGCGCTACGACACCTGGGACTGTCTGATCCTCCACGACGTGGACCTGGTGCCCGAGAACGACTACAACCTCTACGTCTGCGACACCAGCCGCCCCAAACACATGTCCAGCGCCATGGACAAGTTCCAGTACAGGTATGGACGTCCCGCCACGTTGGACTGTTCTTATAAGCCTCTGCGGCAGAGGAGCTTACGCTCTAATGCAGGTACCGCAGACAGGCAAGTGTCCTCTAGGGGAGGTGACAGACTCCCGCTGTGTTTTTGGATGGTGGGGCACCCAGAGGAGGCAACATACCAATACCGGCTGAAGGTTCAGAAGGGTTTGCTGATGGCATCCTTGGTGGGTGTTTGACCCCTGACCCCGGCACTGTAAGGCTAAGAATGACAATCACTTAAAACCCAAATTAACTTTCAGTGTGCAAGGATACAGGATCCCCATCGCCCGACGCCCGGGACGTGTAATTCCGGGCGCCAGGCAGGTGTTTTTTTTTCTTCTCTACATTTAGCCCTGCTGTGGGCAAAGAGGGATAATGTAGAGCGGGGGAGCCGCCGCTCGCTTTGTACAAGTGATGTGGGCGGCTGTATAGGTGCCCAGATGACTTGTAGCTAGGCTTGCACCGATACTAGTATTGTTGCCGAGTATTTGGGCGAGTACTCCGATACCGGAACTTCCACATTGTTTATTGCACTAGGTCGTGGCGCTTTCTTTTCTTTCTAATTATGGAGACATCTGTGGTCTAAGAGAACCTGTCACCTTCAAACGCTGTCACATAGGGTTTTTTTTATCCCAGGTGTGATGGCAGTAAAGTCAAGTGGAAAAAAAGTAGAAAACAACAATAAAATAAATATTAAAACCAACCACGCCACTCCCGTCATCTGCATACAAATAAACGCACATGTAGGGCCAGCGGCATCACCAGGCTATGTGTTCCCAGTTCTGTTGATCCTGCCAAAAATTGAGCGAGTAGATAACTTCCTGTGTTATCTGCCATTGCTGCTCTGTTATAGTGTTTCCAGTTTTTTCTGAAGACTACAGAACTCCTTCCCTCTGAGATAAGGAGGGGGGAGGAGCTCTGTAGCTCCATCCTAGGGTGACAACTCTGCTCCTCCATAGATACAGTTTAGGAGTGAGCATGGTGACCCTAGGACAGGAAGTCTGTTATTTAGTCAAGTATGTTTACCTTTCATCAGGTAAACGAATGCATTCATCTCATCTAAGGCGCACACGCGCGCACGCACACAGACAGACACACACACACACACACACACACACACCTCTATCGCGCCGGCTCCTGTCACAGTCGGAGTGATACCCAATGCACTCCGCCTGTGAGGAATTGATAGTGAAAGTGCGCTTCGCTCATTCTGGCCAGCGATTGGTTAGCAAATAGCTCTTGGAAAGGTACGGCACCCCAAAATATAAGACAGTGTCTTATTTTGGGGGAAACGTGGTATATAACAACATATAACTCTAATCCTGTTCAAGGTTTCTTTCTGGCATTTACTGTACGAAGTTGTGTGCCGACTTCCAATACTCTATCGTTACTGCGTGCGGCTTGCATTTTGATCCAGTCAGCACATGCCCTCTGGTGGACAGTTTGTGTATTTTTTACATTTACTAATATTAAAGGGAACCTGTTACCAGCCCAAACAATACACAAATCTAAAAAGAAAATTGAAGTACAATTACCTCTTACAAAGTACCTCTTTTTCAGTAATGAACCCAGATCAAAAAATATACCTTGCTCAGCAAATTATTTCTTTAAATGTATGCTCAAGGACTTAGTCGCCATGCTTCCAAATAGCTGGCTCCAACTCTCTCAGATCCACTTCCCTGAGCTTCCTGTCAAGTTCAAGATCACAAGGCACAGAGCAGACTCCAGCAGCTGTCCATATATTGCTTGGAGGAACTGGAAGCAGGATAGTGACTTTGACTTTCTGTTCCTCTGTTCCCTCTCCCCGCTCCTCTCTGTTCCCTCTCCCCGCTCCTCTCTGTTCCCTCTCCCCGCTCCTCTCTGCTCCCCCTCCCCGCCCCTCTCTCTCTTTCCCCTCTCAAAAAACCTCTGTCCCCTCCTCCGCCTCCTCTCTGTTCCCCCCCCCCGCTCCTCTCTGTCCCCTCTCCCCGCTCCTCTCTGTTCCCCCCCCCCGCTCCTCTCTCTGTTTCCTCTCCCCGCTCCTCTCTCGTCTGTTTCCTCTCCCCGCTCCTCTCTCGTCTGTTTCCTCTATTCTCTAACTCCAGTTGTACTTTTTTTTTATTCTTTGCCCAAAGTTCTTGCTGCAACACTCCCCTCCTCTCCAGTGCCATTTCCCCCAGACTCACCACTTTGAGGTCCAGCACTGGTTCTTGTTCTGGCTGAATGGAACCCGGCATCCTTCAGCCACTTTCCTGTGAGCCCAGGACATAATAGACCTAGAAGCCTGCGTCTCCACAGAGCCCATCATTCACAGGACAATGATGCTGAGGATGGAACTGATGTCATCACATCCGCGATGGTCTCTGCATCAGTAAGTCCTACCCATGGCTTGAGAAGAGGTGACCCTACGTGTCCTGTTACTGGCCTTAAGACATCTGCAGAAAGGTTAAGACTCAAAAAAGAGAGAGGGGGGGAGTACAGGGGGGTGTGGGTGTAATTGGGCTATAATGACAATTTCTCAACACAACTAGCCAAGTGTCTTTTAAACAAAACAACCATTTTGCGCCTTGTTTTCAAACTCATCCCATTCATAGCTGCCCATTCCTATTTGTAAAATGAAGGTGCAGTACCCAATTCTGCACACTAGATGTCGCCGCTGCTTCATAAATGGCTGTTGGCAAGCTAAACATGGAGCAGCGTGACCGCTACAAACCTGGACTCTCCTATATACAAAAAGGAGAATTACCAGTTCCCCGCTGACCGATTTTTGTGGAGCCAGTTAGAAAGAAGATGGGAAGGATCAGGTGGCCCATACACCCCCACCCCCCTCGTGAGTCTCCTCCACTCCTGATTCATTGTCTTGATGACATTTGAGAACTCTTTTGAAATTATAGGACAGTTTTCACACAAAAAAGGCAATTTGAGATAATTTAGGTCAGTTTCTGCTTTGCTTTTATTTCTTGATTTCTTAAATCTCCATTTTCTGAGGCTGCACTTATTTTGTTAGAGAGTCTTAGTCCGTCACATCTCTTGTAACGCAGACCTAGGCGTAAATCTTAAAGTGTAATGCCCGGCTTCCTGATACCGGAAGTTCCGATATCGGGACAGGCATTGGAAGCATTTAGGCCAGGAGTGACCAGGAGCTGTCGGTGACCACCATGCTACAACGTATATGCGTAGGGTCAACCGCAACCAGATGTATAACCAAAAACCTGGACGTTTCATCACATGATCTCTTCTAAATTGGGGGGTCAGCCTATATCAACTCTAATCCTGCCCAGTAACAGAGACCACATGGTCATGTAAAAGCAGAACTGGAGGGAGTATGAAGCAGCGTTTTCTCCTGGAAAGGTAGTAATTTCAGCCTGAAGTAAAGTTTCAGAAGGTGCACAGGGTATGATGTCTTTCCACATTCGTCAAATAATTATTTTGCTGTAGGGACAGATTCTCCGCATGGAGGAAAGGCCACGCTGCACTTTGCTCCAGATTCCGACCCGTCACAAATATTTCACATATTCTAGTGTCAGTTCATCTCAAGCGTCAGCATTCCATTCCCTGTAACAACTTTGAAGGTGATCGAGGCTTTTGGGTTATAGAATCGGATGAAACCGAATAATGGGCGAGTGTTCACGATGAGCCAATAAAGGGCCAGTCTTCCATTCGCTAGATTTCCCCCCTTACTTCCTGTTCCGGTGACCACAGTTTCACCAGACAGGAAGTGAGGCGATATCTCTAACTGGGACAGCAATTAAACGCTGGAAGATGTACATCGGAGGTGCTGGATTTGACTCATCAGTAGTTGAAGAAAACAATTTGAGTTCACATGGAGCTAGGTGGTGAGGCCGCTCAGGTGAAGCAAATGGGAACTGCACTCATCAGTTTATAACCAGCTTTTAAAGTGAGGTGACCATGGAAGGGCTTTACCCACTACAGGCACAAACATTTTCCAGCACACTCGCCAGCCAGCAAACAAATGACAATATCCAACTATTAGGGTTAAAAACAGAGGTTTTAGTTGCACTATGTTTGCAAAATATGTGGAAGCCGAATCGAGGGCCTCTGTGTAATGTGGACCTAACTCTAATCTATGAGAGCCGCCATCTTGGAGCATATATAGCAAAGGATGAATTGGAGGAGGCAGCCCATTCCTCCTTAACACACTGGGGGCTTCAGTTGCCATTGCGATGCGCTGGGCTTGTGGTGTGTCCCTGTGCCTTTAAAGTGACACTAAAGTCAAGAGTTAAAGGAGAACTATGAGGTGAGTGCTTTTCACTCACCTCATAGTTCTAGCCGACCTGTGACAATGAGACTGTCACAGGTCGGCTCAGTAGATCGGGAGGTGAACGAACACATACCGGGTTCCCTCACCTCTCGATCCTGTCACAGCTCTCTGCCGTGACAGGGGAGGGGCTGGATTCCCCCCTCCCCACTCTGATCCTCCAGCGCTGACTGACGGGGGAGGGTACAGCTGGCTCTGCATCTATATAGGCAGAGCCAGCTGTCACTCACGCAGCTGGGCGGATCCAGACATAAATGTCGGGATCCGTGTCAGCTGCGGCGTCTCAGTATACCGCGAGCTGTAGCTGACGGTGTACTGAGCTTTGGGTGATGGGAGGACGCTAGTTTGTGTCCTCCCGTTACCCTTAGGAGAACTATGGGGAATAAGCCCTGACCCCATAGTTCTCATTTTAAATCTTAAAATTGCATCCAAGCACCTTAACTGTGAACAACAATGTCTCTTATTTGTGTATCACATTTTTAATTATTTTTTTATTATTTCTTCTTTTATTTATTTCATTATTTTTTTATCAATTAAATTTTTTTTAATTTTTATTTATCCTATTTACTTTTTAATTTTTTTATCTTATTATTGTTTTTTATAATTATGTTCTTATTTTTAATATTTTGCTTCTTTTTTTAATTACCTTTTTTATTTTTTTATTTAATTATTTCATATTTTTTTAATTTCTTTTACATTTTCTATCAATTAAATTTTTTTTTCACCCAACTTTATTGCTATCACGCAGGAGAAAACAATCCCCTGTGTAATAGCAATTGGAGGTGACAGGTTCTCTTTATTGACCCTGTCGCCTCCACTACAGGAGTTCTACCACTGCACTGTGCTGATACTCCTGTGACAGGTGAGAGAGGAAGAGCGCAGCACAGCACAGCTCTCCCCTCTCACTGTGTACAGTCTGCACGGAGCGGCAGGGTTACTTATAACCCTGTCGCTCTGCTCACTGCAGTCAGAGACTCGGGACTCGGCGGCGGAGCCCAGAGGACAGAACCAGAGGAGAGAGGTAGGTGCAGGGGGGAGGGGAGGATGCTGCACACTGTTTACATGTGAAATTGGCGACATCGCCGATTTCACATGTAAACGAACAATCGGCTTCCCTCACTCTACATTTAGTCCTGCTTGTACAAAGCAGGACTGAATGTAGAGAGGGCAACTTCCCCACAAGGACACCGCTGCCGCCCCTCTGCGCCCTGCCGCCCCGGCGGCCTTGTGGGGAATCCGGGCCTGTACGTAGCCACCCTCCAGAAGGAAGGACAGTGTCGGCACCAATTCAGAGATGATTGGAGGATCTACAGCCGAGTGATACACAAATAAGATACATTGTTGTTAATAGTTCAGTAGCGCTGCAACTAACAATTATTTTCACAATCAATTATGTGGCCGACTCATTTTTTTGATCAAGTAAAAAAATGACATGCCATCTTTTATTTAAAATACACAAATAGAGTTACAGGCATAAAGTTTACTTCAGAATAAAATCGCTTGCACATTTTTGTTGCAACCGCATCGCACTGGAGAGCGCGGCATTGCGGAAAGTGTGTTTGGGGTGCCATTGAAATGAATGGCACCGCAACGCACCTCCTGCAGTGGAATTTGTCATGCCAAAAATTGCTTTTTCCCACCTTTTTTTATATATAATTGTATGTATTATATTACACATATTAGTTTCATGGATTTAAAATAATCCAGAGAGGAGTGACTGAGAAAGTTCTCCTTCAGGTCCGCTCCACTTCTAATTGACAGCAGACAGTGGGCGATGTACAATAGTCAGCCTGCTATTAGCTATTGCAATTTAAAATGGCCAACAGCAGGCTGGCTATTGCACCCAATGTAGAGTCACAGCGGCGTTGGCTGACAGCCGGTCTCTCCTCCCCGCTGGGCGCCGGCTTCAGTGGTCTGTGTCTCCTCCGATCCATGCTGCCTCTGCCGATACAGGCAAGGAAGAGCAGCGGGGATTGGAGGGGACATAAACCGCAGCATGCAGTGGGCTCCTAGCGGGGTGGAAAGACCTGCAGATCAGGAGGGGAGAGGTTTGGGGGAGCTCTCCTCAACGCTGGGCACCAACTGCAGGGGTCTGTGTCCCCTCTGATCTCATCTGAACCCCGACAACTAGCGCAGAAGAGAGAGCTAGGGGATCCAGACCAACTAATTGATAATGAGACTTGTTGACAACTTTTCTCATCAATTCATTGATTAGTTGGTTGCAGCCCTATAGTTAAGGTACTTGAATGTATTAAGATTTAACTCTGGAGTATAGGGTCACTTTAAGGAGGGATGGGCTACCTCCAGCCATTTTCTTGTCCTGTTTCCCCTTCCCCTGCCATGCTAATGGTCCTGACAGAGGTGGCGGGTGTGCCACTGTCAGAATACCCTAACAGCTGATTGGCTGCAATCACAATTGGGCCATGATTTTTCAGACCGGCTACTTTGCCAAAAGTTGATTAAAAAATGTATTTGTCTAATGGGGGAGAAGTTCCATTGGGGCCCCATTCTGGTCAAAGGTCAGCAGGACTTAGCCGCAATCCGCCCAATGTATGGCCAGCTGTAGACTGAAATATCAGAGTCTTGTGTTAGTACTTTTGGGACCATTTTCTCTTCTTATTGACGCAGAGATAAGTCCATAGGCCCAGTAATTGTGTTTAGCCCAATCCAGACTTGTGCCGGGACAGAGAGCAAGGTTTCATTTTATGAAATATACCCCCCGGGACACAAAGGACATTTTGTTCCCAGATCTTATGTAGCCGGACTCTTATCCTCCGAATCCTCCGGAGAAACAATGACTCCCTGTGTCATGTACACCTGAATGTTATCGCATGTGGCGAGGATTCTGTGCCAGTCACATGACACAGATCGGCTGAGCGCGATATCAAACTAGTTCTAGGAGCCCTTCCCTTTCTTTGTGTTGCTTCGGCTGCTTCTTTTATCAGAACAAAGGAAAAGGAACAAAGAGGTTTAGATAAGTGGAATTCTGAAAAGCATCAACGCAACAAATTCAGAGTTCCTAGAGGGCTAGGGCAGTGTGTTTGCTCTGGGTCCGGGTTTATTCAATCGACTTTGTTTTTAGAAGGAGTGGGCCTGAAAGATCTCATCGCATCAGCTGCAGTCACTGTTCAGGTATTCTGACAGTCAGGATCATCCCTATAATGAGGCAGCCTGATGTGGTTGCCTTAAGACGGCATCTCGTTGGGGAGCCACTAGGGAGAGGGGGGGGGGTGTAGGGGTTTGTGGCCACATCGCCCCAGGTTGTTAGAAGCTCTTAGCAACCTATGATGCAATGTACGGTGCCGCCGAGGTCAGTGATGTCACCATTTGCCAGGAGCTTAGCGGTATGCTCTGGCTTGCATCCCACCTAGCTGCTGCGAACCAGCGACGTCGGTGAGCTGGGCAGGATGCAGGACAGAGCAGTTGACAGCGCGGTCCGGCGTCCGCCACTGCCTGCTTGAACAAACCAGCTGTGCTTTCCCCCCGCCACCACCAATGACGATTCCCTGACAGCAACACCCCCCAGAACAACATTTCCTCAGGCAGCAATCTAACCAGGGACAGCCCTGCTGACAGCGGCACACCCATCCATACTGTTAGCTTGAGTATGGGAATTAAGTGTACGGCCAGTAAAGGATCATAAAAATGGTCAGTCCATGGACCATCCCAGTCCTGGTATCCAAGGGTTTTATTGCATGCTGGTCATGGCGCCCTTTCTTTGCTCTTTTTTGTATCAGTTGTATGCAAGGGGAAAGCTTTTTTTTGTTTTCATAGAGTAGTGAAGGATTAACGCTTGTCTGCTCTATGCAAATGAGTACCCCCTGGCTCTGTGCAAATGAGTACCCCCTGGCTCTGTGCAAATGAGTACCCCCTGGCTCTGTGCAAATGAGTACCCCCTGGCTCTGTGCAAATGAGTACCCCCTTTCTTGGTTGGACTTGGACTTATGTCTTTATTCAACCTCAAATACTATGTAACTATGTAATATGTGCACCTCGTGACGTCAGTCGGCCATGTTACTCTTTCTATCTGAAACATAAAACATTATCTAAATAAAGAATGTTAACAAAACAATTTCAGCCTTTCCTGGTGGAACTTTGAGTCTTAGCTCCCTATGTGTTGCTGGAAGACACACGGATGTCTATTGGTTGTGTATAATATATATATATATATATACAGGTGAAACTCGAATAATTATAAATGAACTTTGCACAATATTCTTTCACTTAAAAGGTGAAACTAATATATGAGACTCATTACATGCAAAGCAAGATAATTCAAGCCGTGATTTGTCATAATTGTGATGATTATGGCTTACAGCTCATGAAAACCCCAAGAACCCCAAATCCACAATCTCAAAAAAGTAGATTATTACATGCAATCAATAAAACAAGGATTGTACATAGAACAATATCGGACCTCTGAAAAGTACAAGCATGCATATGTACTCAGTACTTGGTTTGGGCCCCTTTTGCAGCAATTACTGCCATTACTTTTGCACGATATTCTAATTATTCGAGTTTCACCTGTATATGCGGCTGGCGTATAACTTACCCTTTGTTTCCCCTTAGCCTGCCCTATTGGGCGTACTTTGGAGGAGTGTCTGCGGTGACTCCTGATCAGTTCATGAAGATCAATGGTTTCCCCAACACGTATTGGGGCTGGGGAGGGGAAGATGATGACATTGCAGACAGGTGAGAGTGGAGGACTTTAGACCTCTGAATTACTGTGTTTGTCTATTCCTCCAATTCACACATTTCCTGTCCTTTCCTATGAATTTTATAGTTGTAATTGGGGATACTGGTATTGGTGCCGATGCCGAGTATTTGGGTGAGTACTCGTACTTGCCCAAATGCTCTGATGCCTGGCCCGATACCCGAGTTTCCGGTATCAGGAAGCGAGTCATTGCACGGTGCCCGGCTTCCTGATTGGCCGGGAAGCCGGCTCCATGCTTCCCTCGAGGGGGCATGGAGCTGTCTTCCCGGCCAATCAGGAAGCCGGACAACACGTCATTACACGGCGCCCAGCTTCCTGGTTGGCCAGAAAGCCGGCTCCATGCTTCCCTCGAGGGGGCATGGAGCTGTCTTCCCGGCCAATCAGGAAGCCGGACAACACGTCATTACACGGCGCCCAGCTTCCTGGTTGGCCAGAAAGCCGGCTCCATGCTTTCTCGTCACTTGGTGACGAGGTAGCATGGAGACGGCTTCCCTGCTAATCGGGAAGCCGGGTGGCGAGTCATTAGACCATGCCTGGCTTCCTTAATGGGTTTTCCGGTATTGGTATTCCGTGGATTTCCGGTATTGGTATTTCGGCAAGTACTGAAAAAAAATATCGGTACTTGATACCGAAAAACCGTTATCGGTGCATCTCTAGTGGTAATGTGGTAGATGAAATGGTCCTGCTAGTCTATAACCTGGAGTGAAGCTGGCCAGACACATTGAGATCCAATTGTACAATCTATAGAATGCTAATGGCTAATGAAAACATGAGATTGCTATCAGTTTAGGTCAGGGGTCTCGCACTCAAATGACCTGGGGGCCACTGGGCATGTTTTCTTCTTCCATGGGGGCCGCATGAGGAGGGACAGCCAGGAGAGAGAGTGAGGAGAGACAGCCACCAGGACCCCATGGTTGCCCCTGTTGTCCTGACATCGTGACGCCTGGTGTCCAGCTTTCAGACACAGCACATACAGGACTCAAAACCTGAACTATCTGGGTGAATCCTGGACAGGCAAAACTACCCCGCCTATGAGTGGCCCTGTTTATCTAAGCTGTGGTTGACACTCTTAATTTGTCACAATAACAGTAGTCAGTATCCGATGCGTTTCTTTAACCTCCGAAATGCGTTGTATACTTTTTACCATCGTTGTGACGAATAAAAATTTTCGAGCTGAACAGGAATAGGGGGAGAATCATCCATTGAGGAAACCTGTTTCCGTGACGGTTGTCTAAGAGGGGAGTTCCTCACTTTTGGATGGAATTCCTCTCACTTCCTGTTGTGTCTTGCACAGGAAGTGAAGGGAAATTACCCAAATGGAACACACATGCCAAAACAAATCCTGACAAGGGGTTAAACTTTTCCTTAATCTATGTAATTTTTTTTAAAAACTCTTTGTATTCAGAAAGTATTAAACATGAAATCCTTATAGTTCAAGAAAAGCTCCAGGATATCCTAATACGTACCTATGTACTGGGGATACCCCCGCACTGCAAGGGTTAACTCCAGGATATCCTAATACGTACCTATGTACTAGGGATACACCCGCACTGCAAGGGTTAACTCCAGGATATCCTAATACGTACCTATGTACTGGGGATACCCCCACGCTGCAAGGGTTAACTCCAGGATATCCTATACGTACCTATGTACTGGGGATACCCCCGCACTGCAAGGGTTAACTCCAGGATATCCTATACGTACCTATGTACTGGGGATACCCCCGCACTGCAAGGGTTAACTCCAGGATATCCTAACACGTACCTATGTACTGGGGATACACCCGCACTGCAAGGGTTAACTCCAGGATATCCTAATACGTACCTATGTACTGGGGATACCCCCACGCTGCAAGGGTTAACTCCAGGATATCCTAATACGTACCTATGTACTGGGGATACCCCCACGCTGCAAGGGTTAACTCCAGGATATCCTATACGTACCTATGTACTGGGGATACCCTCGTACTGCAAGGGTTAACTCCAGGATATCCTAATACGTACCTATTTAACTCCAGGATATCCTAATACGTACCTATGTACTGGGGATACCGCCGCGCTGCAAGGGTTAACTCCAGGATATCCTAATACGTACCTATGTACTGGGGATACCCCCGCGCTGCAAGGGTTAACTCCAGGATATCCTAATACGTACCTATGTACTGGGGATACCCACCAGGATACCTAATACGTACCTATGTACTGGGGATACCCCCGCACTGCAAGGGTTAACTCCAGGATATCCTAATACGTACCTATGTACTGGGGATACCGCCGCGCTGCAAGGGTTAACTCCAGGATATCCTAATACGTACCTATGTACTGGGGATACCGCCGCGCTGCAAGGGTCAAGTGCTAGCTTTGGTCCAGGGACCCGAATAAAGCCGATATACTCATCTACAGCCCGGCGGCAGTTGGCATTCGCCTCTCCGCTCCGGCAGTGGAATGCCCCTCGGAGTCCTCGCGTTAAATGGAAGTCGGTGGACCTGCATTAGACGTGATGACATCAGCGGGGCTTAGACCACCAGAGCCCTGGGGTGAGGAAGGCTGCAGGGACTGGTCCCGCAGCCAGGGGGTACAAGGATCAGGTGAGTATATGTGCCCCCTAGAGAGAATAAACACTTAACCCTTTCAGTGTGGGGTTGGCCCCATTGTAAGGGAAAGTTTTATATTATCCCGGAGTTCCTCTTTAAATGTGACATGTTCTTACCTGGCTGCAACATTGTGTTGTTTTTTTTTATTTGAGGATTCGTTTGTCCGGTCTGAGCATCACGAGGACGCCGCTGAGCCTCGGCCGCTATAAAATGATCCCACATGACCGGGATAACGGAAACGAAGAAAACCTTCACAGGTAAACATCCGCTAGACATCCAGGTGACCGGCGCGGCGGACCCAGAGGAGCCCACATATCGCCACAATACTATTATCTCTATCTATCTCACAATTACTATTATTAAAGTGCACCTGTCACAGAGATAAGAGGCTGCCAATGCTGACGTCTGTAGAAATGCTAGTTGCCTGGCTGCCGTGCTCATACGTTGTCTCAACGGCTTTGAGTCGCTGGCCCGGAACAAGTCTGCAGATCAGCAGAGTCCAGTGAAGTCAGAAGTCCTCCTCTGGCTTCTCGCAATGAGTCAGTTACTTAAACAGTTACCATCAGCCCATTGTAAAAACGCGGGCGGGCGGCGGATGCTCGCACGCGCCACCTCGCAGAATCCCGCTGGGAATCTAAACACCAACTCATACAAGCGTTCGGCTGGCTCTACGGTGGATCGCTTGTATGACTATATGCAGTGTGCGGCGACCCCCCCGCTGATCTCTCCTCCTCTCTCTCTCTCTCTGAAGGTGGAAGCGATGTGTATTACATCACTTCCGCCATTACCTGTCATTTCTCCGGCTGCTATAGCCAGAGAGAAGCTGGTGAGCCAGATCTCTGCTTCATCAGCTTCTTTGGGGGTCCCAAGGTGACATTTGGGCTCTTGGAGACCCCTGATGTCTCCATAAAGAGGACCTGTCATTGTATATAAGCTATCACATAGGGGGATTGTTAGCCCTCTATGGGATAGCATAATGAGGACCTGTTTTAAGTTTTAAAAAAAAATCAAAAACGCCCAAAAAACTTTTTTTTACGGCCCCCGCGTGCATGCACATATAAACGTAAATACACGTCGGGTGCGCCTACATGCGAAAACACATGTTACATGTCACCACGAATGTCGGAATGAGAGCAATAATTCTAGGGCCATCAATCACTGATCACACTAAACTGATGAGCGGTAAAAGCTTTTAATTCGTCACCTATGGGCAATTTTAGGCATGGTAGTTTTTGGCGATTTCGCGGGCGCACGCAATTTGAAGGTTTGACATGTTTGGTGTCTAATTTACCCAACGTGACCCCGTCTTTTTATATTTTACCAAAAAATTGGGTAATAATAAATGTTTTATAACGTAATATAGGGAAAACTGTTTTGTTTTTTTCTTGAAACTTTTTGGAACTGTTTTCATTTTATATAGTATAAAAAAAAAAAAAAACCCGTAGTGGGGATTAAATACCCCCAAAAGAAAGCTCTATGTGTGCCCAGAAAATGGTATACAATTAATTTCAGTACAGCGCTGCATGACGGAATAAATTTAAAAGTACCGCAGCGCTGAACACTGAAAAATGGGCGGGACAGGAAGGGGGTGTAAACACCGCGGACAGTAAGAGGTTAAGGTGTCCATAAAGTGAAGATTTACCATCTTGGAGAGCAGGGGGTAACCAAACGTTGGCCCTCCAGCTGTTGTGGGACTCTGACAGCCACAGGTATGACTCCCAGAGGCGGAGTCTTGATGGAATTTGCAGTTTCAGCACAGCTGGAGGGCCGAAGTTTGGCTACCATTGCTATAGGGACATATACACTGAGTGGCCAGATTATTATGACCACCCCATCAGTACTTCGTTGGGCCGCACAGTGTGAGATGTTCCAGTCAATGATTGTTCCTCATGTCCTGTCTGCTGATATTATTGTGTCCGGGAACAAGAATTTGGTAGAATTCTCCCCACAATTCCCCAAAACTGGCTACAGATCGATTTTAAAGAGCAGATAACAGGAGAAATAAATTGATGTGATATAAGAAGCTCAATAATGAAAGTGAAGGGGCAGTTAGGCTCCCTCCCTCCCTTCCCAACCTCATGGGCCTGAAGCCAGAAGACTTCTTTCCATCTGCTCTAGTTTCACCCGTGTGTCTTCTATTTCCTGTCAGGTACAATCTTCTTAAGAACACCAGGAAAACCTGGAAAGAGGATGGAATGAACTCCTTGCACTTTACCCTACTTTCCCGGGAACAAACCGCACTTTATACCAACATTACGGTGGACATTGGTGAAGCTCCACCGGCTCCGACAGAAGACAGCAGGTGGAAGTTCTTTTGATTGTTACGGAAAACCTTACTGGAATTGTTTTTGGTGACATGGGGTTGAGATCTCTTCGTTGGATAACTGGACTGACGTTTAAAGTGGAAGCTGTCGAGATTCGCAATGTTCTTTTACACTAGCAGTCCTGCCACATGGTAGACATCGCGGGGTGTCTAGGTACGATTATTAGACATCCCGCGAGCACTTGTGGAGCCTCTATCTCTGTGCTGCTCAGTGAGATGCTTCTATGGCCACCTATCATTGGCCACTTAATGACTACTTCTCCCAGGAGCTGTATCCTGCACTCATGTGTGGGGCCCATAGACGTGACATGTAGTGTTTCTTAGTAGGTTAAGTTTAAAAGAACAAACAAACCTTGCACACAGTGACGGGCTTGCTTTAGGACCTTTTTATGGCCAATGTGTCAATGATGGTTACATTAAACCGGACCTGGCCTCTAATGTAACAGTGCTGACGTTCAGGCACTTTGTGGTGCCCAAATCTCCCTGTGCTAGTCTTCATATAGATCTATGTGGAGCCTCTGGATCTAAGGCCAAGGCTCTACATGGGATCTCAACGTCTGAGCAAGTACATCCTCCTCATGGTGCAAAGCCTCACCCATCATCCAATTGTGGAATACAGAAGGGCAAAAGTCAAGATCCCACATACAGCTTGGGCCTGAGATCGAAATGGTTCCACAGGAATTGATTTGAAGGCCAAGGCTGTACATGGGGCCTCAACTTTTACCCAATTCCACTTCCTCATGGTGTAATGCCCTACCCATCATCCAACTATGAAATACAGCTAAGGCTCTAAATGGCGTCTCAACGTTGGAGCAAGTACATCCCCCTCATGGTGCAAAGCCTCACCCATCATCCAGCTGTGGAATACAGAACACCAGTGGGCAATAGAGGCTTTGGCAATTGACTGACAAGGGACTGGGCTTAGTGCCAGGAAGGGTGGTAGCTTCATCTCCACATGGTTCCGCAGGAATTGATTTGAAGGCCAAGGCTGTAGATGGGGCCTCAACTTTTACCCAATTCCACTTCGTCATGGTGTAATGCCCTACCCATCATCCAACTATGAAATACCAAATCCCCAGTGGGCAGTAGAGACTTTGGCATTTGACTGATAAGGGAGTGGGCTTAGTGCTAGGAAGAGGATGTGCCTTCATCTCAACTTGGGCAAAAGTCAAGGTCCCACATGCAGCCTGAGTTTCAAATGGTTCCACAGTGATTTATTTGAAGACCAAAGCTGTACTTGGGGCCTCAACTTTTCCCCAAGTTCCACCTCCTCATGGTACTCGGTCCCACCCATCATCCACGTAGGAGATACCGGGACTCCAGTGGGAAGTCTTTGACATTGATTTTAAGACTAACGCAGATACTTCTTGGTACCATAAAGTGCTCAGAAACCTGCACTGTTATTACTTTAGAGAACTGTTGGGGCCCATTTTAGGTTCATGTTAACAAAGGGAAGGTTCAGTAACGGGTCACGTGTCGGGGGAAATGCACCAATTTGTGCCTTGTTGTCAGGGAGCGGTTGACACTGGAACAAAATGGCCAGATAACTCTGAACCCGGGGTGCTATGTCCTGGTACCTGGTGATAGATATCGGGCCCAGTGAATGGACTTTATAAGTGTGAACGTTGGTTTGAAGCTGCAGCCTAATGTGTGCAGATGGTTAAAGAATGGTGTCTTGGGTATGCTCATAGCAACCAATAGGATTGCAGTTACCTCAGGCAACAGAACTCCTCCCCTTTCCTCCTGTGTTTGTATGGGGTCAGGGTGTCTTAGTGATGTGTCTTATAAATATTGGTTCAAAGAAAATGGCTTCCACGGCGGCCCTCCAGCGTGCTGTGGTGATGGGTTTGGGTGGACATATGACCGAGAAATGAAGTATTAAAGCCGTTCTAGTTGTATTTGTGTGTCAGAGCCGGCAATATGTATTAGGCACAAAGCGGCTTCACCTGATTGTGCCTTTCCGTTCGGCCCGTCCATACAAAGAAAACACTTTATTCAGCGCATTACAGTGTGCACGTGAATTGAAGGGTCACTCCACCCATAGCAGAGTCACTGCTAAGATGAATTATCTGCTGCTGTCCCATTTCACTCAGATAATCTCACTCCTTTCTTCACTGGAGTTCCTGAGGGCTGTAGCCACAAAGTCTCGCCTCTCTTGCTGCATTTTCTGTGTTGTAAATGCAACATCAATGCAAAGTGGCAGCATGCCGAGCAAGGTGTGAGTGGGCCCTTAAGGTTCATCTGTCAGCCTATCGATTCTTCTAGGAATTAGGCCGGAGTGATGTCAGATCTCTGTATCATGACAGCCAGTGATCTCTCTCTCCCCCCCCTCTCTCTCACCCCTTCTCTCTCTCACCCCTTCTCTCTCTCGCTCCCCTCACCCCTTCTCTCTCTCTCTCTCACCCCTTCTCTCTCTCACCCCTTCTCTCTCTCGCTCCCCTCACCCCTTCTCTCTCTCTCTCTCACCCCTTCTCTCTCTCTCTCACCCCTTCTCTCTCTCTCCCCCCTTCTCTCTCTCACCCCTTCTCTCTCTCTCTCTCACCCCTTCTCTCTCTCTCTCTCACCCCTTCTCTCTCTCTCCCCCTCTCTCTCTCTCCCCCCTTCTCTCTCTCTCTCTCTCGCCCCTTCTCTCTCTCTCTCTCTCTCGCCCCTTCTCTCTCTCTCGCGCTCCCCTCACCCCTTCTCTCTCTCTCTCTCTCACCCCTTCTCTCT